ATGTGCATGTATTAGTTTGACTGAAAAATAATATACCAATGGTATGGTCACAACTGCAATTCTTAAAAACGAAATGTTAATGGTGATTATCATTAGCACGATGGATAATCTTTCTTCCTTCACTTTTTCGCTGTTTTCACTTATTTCTATGGTGAGTACATTTTATTTCAAAAATAAGGAAAACTTCAAGTTTGAAATCACAATATAAAAATCTGGCCGTAGAAAAAATAAATAAAATATGCTTCCATTCTTTCTTTCTCCCAACTTGGTTTGCCAGTTTCAATCAGGCTGCAGAGCCTGAGGGGGAAAGACACGTTTTTAGGGAGACAAAGTTGATGAGAAAAATGTCTCCGGTATCCTGGAGACCCAGCTATTGCAATGCTACCTCCACACCCCTCCCAAACCAATCTATCTCTCCTCCATTTTTTTTTTTTTTTTTTTTTTTTTTGGCCCTCCCTTACAAGCCAAATATTTTTCCCAAATAACTTCATTCTCACTATACCTTCCAATGTTGTCCATAAGTTAGGATATGTTTCTTGGCAATGTCCATTCTGTCCCAAGCCATTGCCAGATTTAATTGTTCTGATGCTGCTAAATTTGTGCCTAGGGTAAAGAAGGGAACAAGCATAGATCCTATTTAAAATATCCACATAAAAAATACTGAGTTCCACGGAACGTGAGAAGAGGAAACGAGGAAGACATGTAACCCTCATCAGACACTCACCTTTTAGCAGAGCTGTTAGGATTACTAAATCAAGGTCTGGTGACTCCTCAGAATCAGCATCAAATATGGTCATCTATAGCAGTTGAAACACAGAAAGCCACACATTTTGGGAACTCATAAAGAAATGGTTTCAAAAAGTACCCACAAAATGCATTCTAGAGCTAATGACTTGAGCAAAACATTAATGTAAAAAACCACATAGGGTTAATCTCCTTGATTTGTTACTTTCCCTTTTTACTCATAGAAAACTTTTTAAATAGGGTAATAGAGAATTGTGGAAGCTCAAGGGAAAAAAAAACGTAAAAATTCCATGTATCCTACAGGAAACACATGAAAAAACATGACTACACTAAATTTACTATGGATACACTATAATGAAAAGAAACTCAGTGTCAATTCCTTTTAAAAAAATTTTTTTTAATGTTTATTTATTTTTGAGAGAGAGAGAAAGACAGAGTGCAAGCAGGGGAGGGGCAGAGACAGAGGGAGAGACAGAATCTGAAGCAGGTCCAGGCTCTGAGCCATCAACACAGAGCCCAATGTGGGGCTCAAACCCATGAACTGTGAGATCATGACCTGAGCCAAAGTCAGACACTTAACCAACCGAGCCACCCAGGAGCCCCTCGGTGTCAATTCCTAATGCGAAAACAAAAACAAAAACAAAAACATTCCTTTTGAAGCAATACCATATGACATCCTTCTGTTCACGTAGCCTGAGAAACTAAAATTTTTGCTTTTTTCATGAGAAGTGAATCCTCAAGGATTTTTCATAAAATAAGTGAGGCAATTACAATGCACCCAGTGAGTAACTACAACGGATGGGCACAGCCAGTCTTCACAATGTCAATGTCCAATGCATCCGGACATGAGACTGATTTTTTTAAGACAAATAAGGATTTTATTTATGATTATAAAAGGCTGCTTGCTGTTAAGGAATGTATCTCAAGCTTTCTAAATGCAAATATATTTTATATAGTAAAGGGAACTATTTGGAAAAAAAAGAGCTAAGTCTGGCAAGCCCAGAAACGCCACCAACTAGTGAGTTTGAGGGAAATACCTACAGGCCACTGAACCTCAGGTTTCTCATCTACAAGGTGAAAGGAACCCACTAAATAATCTCTAAGGTCCTGTAAAGATAGAATAACAATGCTTCCACAATTCAGATGCTTCCACATCCAACTAACAGCCCCTTTATGTGCATGAATAAAATCAACTCTCAATTATGCAGGAGTCGAGGACCTAATTCCTAAGATGTGCAAACCCATCGCTGACTACTCTTGCCTCCTCTTTGATCGTTACACTGTTTGTTACTCTCTTTGATGACAGGAAGACACAAAGAGAAGGGTGATCTCTTTAAGGTGTCCTTTCCTTACTGAGTACTGTGGGAGATATCAAATGTAGTAGGCCACGCACAAAATTTCAACTCTGAGCCCCATTTCAGTTCTATCATTCTATAACTGCTGACTCTGTGCAAATCACATATATTCTCTAGGTTTTAGCTTTGGCGTCTCTGAAATTGGAATAAACAGTCACTGCCATATTGCACTCACTCATGGTTGTTATGTTTGTGGTTATTAGGTCAACTGACACCTTTAAAAGTGTTTTTCACATATGTTTATCCATGCTTTGTCCAGCCTGAATTTGTTCAATTTCTTTGTCTGAGGCCAGGTGCTTAAATATTACTAAAATCTTGTGTGATTTGGCCTAGCTTTTGAATTGTGGAAAGATCACTGTGAATCATGACATATTTGCATGTTTACTATACCTGTTGGCTTTATATCGTCTAAGTCATTGATAAAAATCTTGATCAAAGTACCCTAAAACACGAAAATCTTTTCACAAGTCTATATTATGTTTACAGTCCATAGTTTGTGGTCTCCATTTTCTGGCCCAGAGTAAATTCCCACATTTCCCATTGTTCAATACATCCCCAAAGATCTCCTACATGATTTACTAGGATGTTATGATGCAGTCACCTAAGCCAGGAGGGAACACATGGAGCTATGCTTTTACCCTTTGAAAATATTTATGTGTGATCATCACTAAATGTGCTCACTCTTCCGTAATACTGACATATTGGTTTTTCTCCTAAGTGCAGTCTGAAATGTGAAGCATTGTAGGGAGGTGGGGAGGGCAGGGAATAAAAAGCCAAGTTGACTCAAATAAGGGTGAAGTTCTCCAGATCTATATACAATCAAAGTAAAATTAAAAACTCCTTATTTTGGGGGCACTTTGCTGGCTCAGTTGGAAAAGCATGTGACTCTTGATCTTGGGGCCATGAGTTTGAGCCCCACACTAAGTGTAGAGATTACTTAAAAAGTAAATATTAAAATAAAATCTTAAAAAAAGAAAAAAAAACCCTTAGTTTTAAATGTTGCGGAGGGGTGCCTGGGTGGCTCAATCAGATGAACATCCAACTCCAGCTCAGGTCATGATCTCACGGTTTGTGGGTTCGAGCCCCGAGTCAGGCTGTGCGCTGACAGCATGGAACCTGCTTCAAATTCTTTCTGCCTCTCTCTCTCTGCCCCTCCCCAACCTGCTCACTCACGTACACACGTGCACGCTCTCTCAAAAATAAATAAACAATAAAAAAAATAAAAGTTTTGGAAACAAATATTACAAATGATGCAAATTACCAGTTTTAAAGTTGGTAAAGTTACCAACTCATCATACTCACAGAATCCCTGTGCACCATACACTCCATGAGAATTTGAAAAAGGTGCTTGGACTGCTTAAGACTAAAGTTGAAAGTGCTCTGAATCATGCAGATGATCTCCTCCTTCACCTGAGGACGTAGGGTCCTGGGAAGAGAGAGAAATGGTAATGCCTTGGCGCAACACAGAGAAGAGAACGAGCCAAACACTTCAGTGCAGGAACCCTTGTCTGTCCCATCCGACTGAAAAGGTTTCTGTAGATGCTTCTGCTGTGAGAGCAAATGAGGAGGAAGCAAAAGGAAGCAGGGCACCTTCCTGAATTTGAAAGTGAATTTGAAACTGAATTTGAAAGTGAATTTGAAAGTGAGCGTGAACAGATCCACCATGATCCTGGAAAGAATGCACTCCAGGACAAGGTTCTCGAGCTGACAGATTTCCAGGGGACTGTGCATCACCAGAAACTGCAGGCATCATATCTCAAAGAATCCGACACTCCAGAAGGTTTAAGAAGCACACATTTAGGAAAGAGACACACAGGAAAGAATAAGAACAGGGTCAAAGCGTAGAAGTAGAGGCTAGGGGCTGAGGGGAGAGAGGGAGTGTAAGGAAAGGGTCGTCAGAGCATTTATACCATAAGCAGTGAATACACATTTACTGTGTAAACTGGTGGGGCCAACATTTAGCTCATAGGCATTATATTTACTTACACAGAAGAAATATTATGCTTTTGAAATTGGAAAAATCACACCGGATATAGGCATGCCTAGAGAAAAACTACCTTTTTATTTGAAAAGGCTAAAGAGTTAAAGCCTCAAATAAATATAACATATGTTATATAAATGCCAGGATGCTGATTTCCCCCAATTCCTGCTATTTTTACTAATGGCAAACGAATCTGAAGGTGATCGGGGGGCCAGCACTGGTCTCCTCAGTCACCACAGGGTTTTCTCAGCTATCAAGGCCAACTGCAGGAGCGTCTCCTCGCTCAACAACACCCCCCACCCCCACCCACGCCCGGATGCTTTTTCCCTTGAAGCTCAGACAGGGTTCAAGAGCCCCTGATAGAGGCAGGACCATTCTTCAGCTATAAAAAGAGCAACTTGCATCAGGGGAGAGCATTTTGGCATTAATTAATACACAGAAAAATCACTGGAAAGTTAATTCCAGTCTCAGCCTCTGCCCCCAAGGATATCTGGCCCACATAAAAGCAGAGCTTAAAGAACTAAAATGGAGGAATAAACAGTCACCGTGGCTTAAAAACTGAGGGGTCAGCAACTCACCCTTCGTCTGCTAAATGTTTGTGGGTGAAGGCCAGGAGGTCGGCCGCCCTGCCTGTGCCTTCACACACCACCACCGGGTCGTTGTCTTTCACAGTCTCCCACACCGCGAGGATGACATTGGGACCTCCTTCTACCACCAGCCCCACCACGGGCACGCCTTGTCTTGAACCTATTTCAGATGACAGGCAACAGCAAACTGTTACAAAGAACTCCTATCTTGGCCAGGCATCCATTTTGCTTTCCCCGACACCAGTCTTTCAGTTACCACATAAACCTTTTACTTACACTCACCCCTCTTTCTTCCTGGACTCACCCAGGCTTGCTTAGTTCAAGACCAAGCCAGAAGCTTGGACTGTCAATAAAGTCACTTAAATGTGGTGAGAGCATCTTCAAGCTTTCCCCCGTTACAAAAAACAAAAAACAAAAAACTTTTTAAGTTTTTTTTTATTTTAAGAGACATAGAGAGCAAGGGAGGGGCAGAGAGAGAGAATCCCAATCAGGTTCCTCACTGTCGGCAACAAGCCTGATGTAGGGCTCGAACTCACAAACCATGAGATCATGACCTGAACTGAAGTCAGACGCTTAACCAACTGAGCCACCCAGGCGCCCCTAATTTAAAAAATAATTTTTTTTAAGTAGTCTTCAAGAAATTTCAACTTCTCATTGTGGAAACTTCAAACATATCTTGAAAAAAAAACCAGAAATATAATGGATCCCAATGTATCTATCACTCACCTCCAAAAATGATCAAAATTTGCCAGGTCAATCAACTTCTAAGGATGATTATTTCTAAGTACAAGATGGGATGGGTAACTCTCAAAGACTTTTATACTTCAACATATTCTATTTTTTAAATGTATTCCACTGTTAAAATTTCTTATCACTAGGATATATTATTTTATTTTTTATTAAAGGAAGGAAGACCAAAAAAAAAAAAAAAAAAAAAAAAAAAAAAAAAAAAAAAAAAAAAAAAAAAAAAGAAAGAAACAAAGACGGTGGAATCATTCTTTCTGAGAAGATATTAAGTGAAAAACAGTTACAGAATGATGTATATAGTACAATCCTTTTTATAGTTTTAAAACCACATACATGAATATATATTCTATATATGTTTGCATTATATATATGCTTGTATGATATATATGTGTATAAGTATATACCCATATATCTCTACATATATATATGACCAGAAACTCTGAAAGGGTACACATCAAACTATTATTAATGAAGAAGGGAGGGGAGGATTTGGGGAAATGTTGAAAAAGAACCATTAATCATGGGGGCGCCTGGGTGGCTCACTCCGTTGAGCGTCTGACTTTGGCTCAGGTCATGATCTCACAGTTCATGAGTTTGAGCCCCACGCCGGGTTCTGTGCTGACAGCTCAGAGCCTGGAGCCTGCTACAGAGTCTGTGTCTCCCTCTCTCTCTGCCTCTCCCCAACTCATTCTCTCTCTCTCTCTCTCTCTCTCTCTCTCTCTCTCTCTCTCCCCAAAATAAATAAACATGAGTAAAATTAAAAAAATAAAGAACCATTAATCATTAATTATTGAAATCTATGGAAAAAACTTTTGTGAGAGCATCTCTTATATCCTATGTAATGAAACACGATGCAGCCATTAAAGATGTGCTAAGCTATTCTAATTTATTTTAATGTTTATTTTTGAGAGAGACAGAGAGACAGAGCACGAGCAGGGGAGGGGCAGAGAAAGAGGGTGACACAGAACCTGAAGCAGGGTCCAGGTTCTGAGCTGTCTGCACAGAGCCCAATGTGGGGCTCGAACTCACAGATAGTGAGATCATGACCTGAGCCGAAGTCAGATGCTTAACCAACTGAGCCACCCAGGTGCCCCTAAGCTATCTTTATTGATGTAGAAATGCATCCAAGTTGAAAAGCATGTATATTATATGAATCTAGTGTTTGTTTAAAAAATGTTGTTCTGGGTGTGTGTGTAGAATATTTCTAAAAGTATATATATGATAAAGTTGACAATGGTGAGGTTTTTATTGTGAGAATATGGAAAACCCTTCCTTTTCTCATGTGCTCTCTTTGCTTTATCTGAATATGAGAATATATAGTACTTTTATCATCAGGAAAAAAATCAACAAGGGGAAAGAGGGAATTCAATTTCTACTGGGTATATCTTTCTTGAAGCAATAACTATTTCCCACAAAAATAAAAATATTTATGATTGCTTCCTACCAAAAGGATCTCACTGATGCTAATTTAACTTGTTAAAAAAAGAAAAAAATTGTCATGTTCTTGCTGAGAAATCTCACTAGAGAGCTGCCTCTATTCTTGGATCCCAGAGTTAGGCAAGAATACAATTATCATGCCTCCAAATTAAAAGCTCCTGGAATGGACATTCCAGGAAAGCATGCTATTCCATTGAGAGTTGGACTATGAAGAGACACAAAGGCATCTGATCCTATGCTTTCTATCCTCGGAGGCTTAGGAACTGACACTGGCCACGTTTCAAATGGCTGAATCCAGGAATTCCTAGAGCAACTTTATGATGTCAGGTTTTTTTGGTTTTTTGTTTTTTCTTTTTTGGATTTTTTGTAAGTACTCTTGGCCAGGATCAAGGGTTTGCTGGGGACTCTAAGAAGTCCAGCTGAAAAGAAATAAAAGAAATCAGCAAAATATGTAAGTATTATTCCATCCAAATAAATCTCTTTTTAAGCAATACAAATATGGTAGGAAGTAGTGAACATGATGGGTATGAAAATCAGCTTTGATACATAAGAATTTTGGGTCTGTTGGAGACTTTGATTTTTTTGTCTTCCTCCCTCCCTCCCTTCCTTCCTTCATTAATCCTTTTTCTTCCCCTTCTTCTCTCTTCTTCCTTCCTTCTCTCCTTCCTTCCTTTCCTGTGAGTGTGTGTGTGTGTGTGTGTGCATGTGCGTGTGTGTATGTGTGTGTGTGTTTAGGTGGCTTACTGTTTTTGCTCCTTCATATTGGTTTCCCTTAGAATAATAAATGTTACCAATCCACTGAAATGGACTCCACATTCTTTCTCTATACGCAGTGAAACTCTCCAAATAAATCCTAAGTTTCAAGACCTTTGAAAACAGAAATCTTCCTTGACCCCATATGTAAGCTTCAGGTTGTATGCATTCATCCACAAATGGATCAGAATAAGAAAGACAAGACTTTGCTCTCCTGGGGCACACATTATGATGCTGTAGGAACCCCCTGAGCAATTTCTATGGTGAGCATAGATCAAGAGAGTAAACAGGACATTTCAGGGAATTGATATTTGTGACCCCAAAAGGAACCCTCCCTGCAGGAACTCTTCTTCAGGGCCAGTCTCTGACCTGTCGTCTCCTCTATGGGTCTTCTTTCCCCCCACCCACATCTACTCTGCAGAGGACCTGACCCTCTCTCCCCACTTCCTGACTTAAATGAGCCTCCAAGTTTCATTCACACTAAGCACAAAGTGACTGGCAACAGTTCCCAGTGTCCCTCCCACACAGAACCCCACCCCAACAAGGAGATTACCTGTATCAAAGAGGAATAAAAGGAAAGGAAGAAACAGACATTTATTAAGGGCATACTATACAGCCAAAACTATTCTAGGCACATCAAACATACATTATCTCAATTCTCACAACAAAAGGTGGAGGTAGACAGTTCCTTCCCTTTTATATTAAGAAAACAGTTTAGGGGCACCTGGGTGGCTCAAATGGCTAAGTATCCAACTCATGATTTCAGCTCCGGTCATGATCTCAGGGTTGTGAGATTAAGCCCTGCATCAGGTTCCGCAAGACAGCACGGAGCCTGCTTGGTATTCTCGCTCTCCCTCTCTCTGCCCCTCCCCTACTCATGCTCGCTCTCTCTTTCTCTCTCTCTCAAAATAAATTAACTAAAAAAAAAGAAAAGAAAACAGTTTAACAGATGTAAACTCCATCAGCCAAGGTCACAGACAGTAGATGACAGAACTTTGGAAGGACATTGAGCGTTTCCAGCCAAAAGTCGAAGGTTGAAGAGGACTTGAGCCTCCCAAGGGCCTTTGCTCTCTGGTCTTCTTCCTCAAGGGTGAGAGTATTTTGTGAAAGATTCAACTCATGGAAAGAGACAGAGGCCCACTTTCTGCTGCCTTGGATGAAAAGTCTCCATTTCTCCAGGCAGCACCTACCTTTCAACCTCTCCACCCAAGGATGTTTGCTGATTCTGACCCTTTCCTTTCTTCTCCTTCCTATAGATACTATTAAAAAAGAGACAACAGGCCCAAAATGGAGTCCCTTGTGCTCAGCTCCAAATCAACAAATGAAGATTTAATACCTAATTGCAGTTGCAGCCTCTCCCAGGAATGTAACCTTTAACCAGTCATTCTGGAATTACATAGTTGGCACTAGGGAGGTAATTGGCCTGGTAGGACCCCCACGCCCACCCCACCTTCCCCCAAAGGAAAGTGACCTTGCCCAGAACAATCCATCCTGGTTAGAATAACTCCCTTGCCACACCAACTTTTGCCTATAAAAGTCTTCCATTCTGTCCAGCTCCTTGGAATTCCTTTCTACCTGCTAGATGGGATGCTGTCCAACCGATGAATCACTGAGTAAGGCCAATAAGATCTTTACATTTACTCAGTTGAATTTTGTTTTTAAACACTACCAAAATGGCCATCTCAAAGCATCCCTGGAAGCATGACACAACACTGATACCTTCAAAGGTCCCTATCATTGTTGTTTACTTGTTACACCCATTTTTAAAAATTTTATTTAAATCCAAGTTAGTTAACATATCGTATAATTATGGTTTCAGGAGTAGAACTCAGTGCTTCATAACTTCCATATATCACCCAGTGCTCATCCCAACAAGTGCCCTCCTTAATGCCCATCACCCATTTAGCCCATCCCCCCATCTAACACCCTACCAGCAACCCTCAGTTTGTTCTGTGTATTTAAGAATCTCTTATGGTTTGCCTCCCTCTCTGTTTGTATCTTATTTTTCCTTCCCTTTCCCTATATTCATCTGTTTA